ATAATGGCTTACATGCACCAATAAATATGATCTTAAATTCACGGTTTTTTCTTCAGCTCTGAAAAAATGAAGGTTGTCACTAGTCCTAGGTTGAAAGGACATCACTCAGTACAAGTTGTAATTTCTATATGCCTATTCTATTTAAATTTTCACCAGCACTATTCTCTAAATACTTGGGAAGTTTATACCAAGTTATAGGTTGATGCTGGTAAAAAAAAAAAAAAAGGCTGATGTGTAGATTCCATATCCTTTTATGAAGCAAACATATGAAAGTGAGATATTTCTTATTTACTTGTCCAGTGTGAAAGAGATCAGATTACATAATGCCAAAGTAGTAAAAATCCTTTAGAAATTATAGCTCAGGAGACCCAAATTATCACGAGAAAACCAGTGGTAAAATAATTTTTGCACCCTAAAAACTGTTTCACTTAACCAGTTAAACTGAATGTAAGGCCAGAATAATTTTAGAATAAGAATAAAAAAGATTCAATGTCAAGTAGATGAACTTATTACAAATATTTTTAAACATGGAGCATCTCTCTCTATTCAGTATGGATGATAAAACTTACAAACAAACAAACCCCCCACCCTACCGCCAAACCCAGACCTGTATCAGTGATTGTTAGAAAGCCAATCCTCTCTTTCCAAGACAGCTAATCAGTATATTCATTACTTTTTAACTACTCCCTGCTATAAAAAACAATACATAAAACCTGTTTGGAATATTAATATGCAAATACATTTCATGATTTCCAAAAAAAAATTATTTAACTTTTGAAATAAATTAGTTCTTATTGGGCTATACATTTTAAAAAATGAGTGTTTTAGCTTTTCTTAATCCAATCCTGTTTTTCTGCAAAGAAAAAAACACTCAGAATGATCATGGACATATTTAACAAACTTTACCAGTTTAACCAATATTATACTTACAATAATTGCCACTGCCCTTTAAAATAGGTACATTTCCATAATGTCCCCCTAAATTTTACTTAAATGACCCACAATATTACACAATATACCAATTTTAGGAGTTTCCCCCTTTTTATTCAATCCTGATGAGTAGGATTCTTAATTTAAGGAGACAAGAAACTGTGCTATGAGGAATAATGTTTCGACTTAGTCTTTAACGAGTATTTTTGCTGGAAGTGTGAAATATTGACATTTATTGACATAAGAAAACCTAAAATGGAATCTTATAGCTACTGTAAATCTATTTTCCAGGTCAGAGAATATTTTTAAGATACTTTATATGTTAAAGAGGCTTCATTCCTTAACAAGTACTTTAAAAAATTATATTTGGTAGATACATTTTCTTTGGTAAATTTTGTAATCAATGAAGATGTAAAGAACTTCCTTTGATGTAATTAACACTGAGCTGTTTATACTCAAATACAGCAAACCATATTGGTATGAATTCTGTAATTGGGGATGAGTTGTCCAATTAAGTTCATTTCTTTGAAAATAAAAGGATTTCTTTATTAGACCTACTTCCAGATACACATTTTTAAAGAGACTCATTTATACTTTAAGCTACACCTAATTCTATTTTTTATAAAATCAATATTAAACATAATAGCAGACATCTGAATATGCCTTAATTTGTAAACATGATTAACACAATTTCTAAAAATCCAGAAGCAAAACATATACCCTACATTTCTGTACTATGCTGCCAGTTATTTCACATCATTCCCAGCTTTCTGCCAATTTCTATCCTGAATTGTTTACTCTTATATAGATTTCTCATAGGACTATGGCTAAGATTACAAAAATACTGAAAAGACTGAAGTTACCAAAATGTTGTACTTGTGTGGTCAAGTTCAGAAGAAATATGCCTACATGGGCAAGGAGGTTGGGTGGTGATGACTCCTCCATGAATATTCTATATATGCTCAGTACCAGTATGATATACCTATTAGGTACACATAATGCAAGTAATACTAAAATTTGTCTTACATTATCAATATGACCACCTTGGCATGGAAAACTGTACCAATGTGATGACTCATAATTTTATTAGCATTGTTAACAGTTTTACACTGCATTCCATCTTCTCATAACCAGGCAAATATTTTAATTTCTAATTAGTTTTCAAACAACTTGTTTCTAAAAACACTTTAAAAAAATTAAAGTATTACAAGTAAGTGTCTCAACCAACTTAGTGGTAAAACGATGACAATAATCATTCAACTTGAAAGATAAAAAGTCTCATGTTCAGACTGTTTAACATAGCTGTACGTAGAAAAATTGCTCTAAAATCTTACAGAGTTTCTGATCATTGGCATGACCTGTTAAACTTTTTAAAGCTGAAAACAAATATGTAACTGAAATACTGATTAAAAAAGAAAAACCCAAAACATACTTTGTAATCCAAGGTCAGAAATGGAGAGATATTCCTTGCCAGTGTTTGTAATAAATAGGGGACTACCCCTAAAGACAGGTACTACATTTTTTATTTACAAATGAACATGCAGAGATTTAAACGAGACAACTGATTGTCAACAACTGAAGTACTAAAAAATTGACTCCATTAAAATATTCACAAAAGTAGTGCAAACAAAACAATCTGAAGTTATTCTCAGTATTCCAGTGTCTAATAAACAATTTTAATTAATTTAAAGCTACTACGTGGAATTTGAGAATACAGACTGGAAATACTGAGCTTATATAGCTGAGACTACTGCATTTAAGACATTTTATACGGTATATACACACTTTAAATGACATCATGGTCACTGTTCCATTATGGAATCATAAGCTTCACACTATAAAACCTTTTTCAATCATATAAGGAAATATTGCTTGCATTTGCTCTAAGCATAAGTAAGATTCAGTCTCTTTCTACATTAAAAATTAATGGAATCAAATTTATTTAATCTTTACTTTGCAATACTCTGTTGTGCAATATAATTAGCTTGCCACACTGGTGACTGAAAGCTGGCTGACTCAAAAATTACTTTAAAATAACTAGAAAACACTGATCAAAGCCGTTTCATTGGGTTTATTTTACATTTAAATAAATCCCAACAAATGTATTCAACTATAAAATGGCAGCATACAACTGTTATGTGGCAGAAAATATGCATAAATTAGAATAATGTGTTGATCCTTACATCTGTAGATATACTTAACATTTCCAACACTTCCCCATCTAGATTACTGTACATTTGGATTTAACACTTTTCTTAATGTGCTGTATTCACCAACTACTAGACCAGAACTATAAAGAAACTGCAAAAATGGAGTTAACAACCCACTGCCTCCCCAAACCCGTGAGAGACTGCGTTTGATTCTGGCTCTGCTTTAGTTATATGACCTTGATCATACCACAACCTCTGAGCTTCCGTTTCTTGAGGATGAATGTTGGGGTGAGGGAGTGGGAGACTAGCTAGATTATCCCTAGGGTTTCTTAGCACAGTTCTGATTCTATCATAAGCAGACAAAGAAAAGTGAATTGGAAAGGAATGGGAATGGTAAGGGGTAAAGGTAAGGGGATCAGGATTTTAAAATAACAATTTTCCCCTTAGCTTCTTAAAATATTTTCACATTTAAAAGTCTTCAAGCCAGGTGTGGTAGTTATGTCTGTAATCCTAGCACTTCTGGGACGCCAGGTGGGTGGATCTCTGAAACCCAGGAGTTCAAGACCAGCCTGGGCAACATGGCAAAACCTCGTCTCTACTAAAAATACAAAAATTAGCCAGGCATGGTGGGGCATGTCTGGAGTTCCAGCTACTCCAGAGGCTGAGGTGGGAGGATCACCTGAGCCCAGGGAGGTCGAGGCTGCAGTGAGCCGTGATAGTGCCACTGCACTCCAGCCTGGAGGACAGAGTGAGACCCTGTCTCAAAAAATCAAATCTTCTGAGTTAACTATTCACTTTGCATTTTAGTTTGCTTTCCAGTAATTAATGTCAGAGCAGAGCTCCCAAGCCTTCAGCTATTTCTTTGTATTCTTTTATCCAACTTGGCATACATGGCACCAACCTATTTGTTTTATTACAGAAAACAAGTATTTTCTCCCTAAATATCTTTTTCATAGATGGTTAGACTTATAGAAATTAGAAAATATACAACAAAAGCTTGTTAAAAAAGTATAAATATTGCTGGCATATATCTGTAACAGCTGTTGTATATCTGAAACAAACTATTTTAAATTAAATGCCAAAAATAATGCATGTTAAAATGCATAGTTAAAAAGTTAGAAAATTTGACTCTCAGTTTGTTAAACTAACGCCTTCCATTTTAACTAATAATAATTCTTGCACAAGAAATCTGTTGTAAGACCCTGAATGCAAGGTTTAGACTAAATGAAATGTTTCTTCACTGAGGTCAACCCACATCACCTAAAAGAATAGAAAACAAATGTTACAGGGTCATAAAATGTTAATGTGTGTATGTATACGTACAAGCATATATGTATATATATACAGATAAATAAAATCCTCTAAGATGAACTTTTTTTTTTTTTTTTTTTTTTTTTTTGAGACGGAGTCTTGCACTGTCGCCCAGGCTGAAATGCAGTGTCGTGTTTTCAGCTCACTGCAACCTCCACCTCCCGGGTTCAAGCGATTCTCCTGCCTCAGCCTCCCGAGTAGCTGGGATTATAGGCGCCTGCCACCATGCCCCGCTCATTTTTTGTATTTTTAGTAGAGACAGGGTTTCGCCAGGCTGGTCTCGAACTCCTGACCTTGTGATTCGCCCACCTCAGCCTCCCAGAGTGCTGGGATTACAGGTGTGAGCCACCGTGCCTGGCCATGATGAACATTTTTTAAAACCAATTTTTCAGTTATAACATAAGATTTCTAGCCAAAGGAAAATTTTGTTGTATTTATTGTAACTTTTGCTGTAATTTGGTATTGTGTGGTATTTCTTTTGTGCTGTAAGTAAAATCATGCTAGATTTAGATGCCAATAAATGCACAATCTGAATTGAAAACAGTCTTTGTACCTCTCAAATAAAACCATAATTTATGCCATAAAGTGACTGACCTCCAGCCATAGCCAAGATCTCACTTTCTAGGTGAGTATAATGCTCCTTTCCTTACATACCTGAAACTGCCTTTTTTAGTATGTTATAGACCTTTACAGCTCATTTATTTTGGCTATTTTTAAACTCCTTTCATTTATTTGACATCCCTTAAATTAAAAGAAAGGATATTTAAAATACAACTTTGTGATATATACATATACACACCATATATATATATACACACACACACAGACACACATAAATCAATAAATTGTCTATTTATCAACTTTTAGCTTTACCCCGGACTTTGGCAATGTTGTAGATACTAGTTCAGGTTCTAGTTTTCCATTTTCACATGAGCTGGAAAATGTTACAGACTACCAAATTCAAACAAGCATCTCATATATAAAGAGTCTAACAGAAAGTCTCTTAGGGAGAAAAGAAAGTTCTTACAATAAAAACGGGAGCATTGCTAGGTGTGAAAAAAAAACCATTTTTTTCTGTTATTTATCAAAATCTATTGTAATTTTAATGGTAGGGATAAAATTTTAACTTTTGTTAATTAGGAGAATACTTGCTTTCTATAAATTCAGTATTTTTTTTAAACAATAATCAAGTAAAAACATCTAAATGTACAAAGCACTAATAGCTCTGATGTATTCTGTGGAAGGATAACTTATAACAGTTTAAGTCACAATACACTGATTTTTTAAAACCCAATATATTCCTCCCTTCTTTTTCAAACATCAGAGCCTGAGACCCAGAAGAGGTTATGATAAAATCTTATCCAACCAGATCAGAACTAAGAAAATTTTTTTTACCAATAATGTTTTTGTAACCTCTTAGCAGTTACCAAATGCTACTTACATACATTCAACATCTAGCTTACTGGCATGATTTCAAAGTTTTATAAAAATGAGAAACTGCAGATATATGATTAGAAGGTACACAAATTGCATTACATTAAACACAAAGGCAGTGTGGTCCTTATAGGAGAAATCAAGGTCAGTACCCCCTGGTAGAAATGTTCTATAAAAATGTGTCACATTGAAGTATCAGTGTTTTCAGCCAATTGTCTGTCCCTGATATATTTCCTTGGAGTATGTAATGTATCAGGACTTTAGGTTTCTTAATCCAAAATACCTGACTGAATTTAGGTACATCTAGAAAGCAGCTGAAAGGGTTTCTCTTATAGTCTGACATAACAGAAAGTAGATTGAGAAATCCCTCTCTTTACCTGAAGATGTACTGTTATACTTCAGCCATCAGCTCACAAAGGAAAAGAAAAAAAAGAAGAATCAAAATCTCCTCTCACACACACAATCTCCACACAAGCTAAACAAAAACCACCCCTCCCCCCACAAAACCCCAGCACCAAAGTGTCAATCATTCCTGGGAAATAGAACATGCCCCTCAGAATCTGATTTGTTAGTTGGCCAAACTTGAAGGACAGAAATGACCTTATATGTCCTTGTGGGGAAGAGGGAAGACATGTTAATAATGACTATAGAGCCATTGAGAAAGTGCATTATCAATTACACAATCAACTTAGAGCCCTGTCCTCCAATGGAGGTGGTCACAACTTGATTTAAATGCCTCCATAATTGAACATTTATGTCTTCGGGATAAACGAGATGGGGGGTGGAGAAAGAGCTACCCTCATTTTAATGAAAAAGTGCAGCAGTCTACCACCTTTCCCCATGCTTCTCCAGAAAATGATTGCACAGACTCAGAGAAGTCCAAAGTCATAGCAGAATCTCTGAGGCACTCCTGGTTAAGAGAAAAAAATATGATCCAGTAATCTTCATAGTTCTCTAGATTATGAGAACAAACCCGTTTTGTTTTGTTTTTAAACAAAAGCCAAAGAATCGTTTCATAGGGATCATATACACCATTTCCTCTAACGTATCCTCAGTCTCACAGTGTTGAAATGGGACCGATCAGCCTACGATGGATTGCACATCACCCAAGGAGAAAGGAAGGCATGGAAAAGGCAAACATTTTATACTGCTTCACAAACACATTTACAAGGAATACGTGAAGATGTAGGAAAGAGGGATAAAGAAAACCTTATTGCTGTTTTGATACAAAATACAGTATGAAGATACCTAAACTAAATGAAATCTGATAACAGTGACCAGTATTTTCACAATGTGGGATGAAGTGTCTTCTTGCACAATGAAATGTTCAGTTTAAAAGGTAAGCAGAAAGATGAGGGAGGATGTCAAAACTACACCTGGGATATTAGCTGCATATTGAAACTTGGGGATCGAGACTGCTTGGTTAAGGGGGCTCCTGGGCTGAGAAGCTCTTTACCTTCGCCAGCTTGACCTAGCCGGTCTTCCTGCAGACTGACAGTTGAGTATCGATTAGCATTGTTAGCTGCTAAATTAGTACCTCCCTCAGTGCCAACCCCAATGCTGGTACTTGCTTGACTGCCATTTACATAGTCAAATGATTTACTTGAGGAAGCACTGGCTGTCCGGATTAGACTTAAGCTATTGGTTTTTGGCACCACCTGGCCAGCAGGCAGGCTCAGGTGTTTCTTCATTGGTGTCAGCTCAACTGAATCTACACTAAGATCAGTTGGTTGCTGTACATACTGCTTGCGAACTACTGAATCTCGAGGGCTCTCACTGGATTTGATGGCAGAGGCTGTTTCTTTATCCTTGGCTGAACGCCCAGTTGCTACTTTCCTTAAGCTTCCCCTCTGAGAAGAGGAGGATGGTTTGGTCCCAATTGGCTGACTGCTGAGGGAAGCCCCTGATGAAAATCCTTCATCTGCATCATTCAGGTTTACAGACTCCTCTCCTCCATTTACACCCTCAGCACCTAAGAAAACAAATCAGACAGACTCAGCAACAGCTAAATTAAGTAAGAAGCAGCTGTGAATAACAATACTGACCTTATCTCTTGGGTAATGCTTGCTATAGGTTGTCAATAGCCCTACTATCAACACTTCCCCTAAATAATTTAGGGGAAATCTTAATCTACACAGAGTTCTACTATGCTCAAACATGTTAATTTAGCTTTATTTAGTCCAGTTTTTGTAAAACTATCCACAAACATATCTAGTATATTGTCAGTATTTAGGCATGTAAAACAACTAGGTAAAATACAACAGTTAACATAAATTTTTATAATGCACTCTATCATTCTTCTGAAATGACTATATCTACCTACTGGGGAAAAAAAAAAAAAAAACTTTGCCCCTCATACCTTCTTTAACCCACCATAAGATGTGCAAGAGACCCTCTTCTAATTCCGGTTACCCAGAATTATACCAAAAACTCATTTATGCTTACAGGCCAAACTCTTTTTAACTATAATAAAATTTATATTTACTCAGTGGTTGGTTAACTGCTTCTATATGGCTTTAGAACCTTTAACATGGAACTAGCAATTTTTTTAAATAACTCAAAACTATATTGCTTCTGTAACTTCACAGTCATATTTTGTCTTATGGCCTTTTCTACTCACTGGTTTCCATATTTTGATCAATTAATGTGAAGAAAATATTATCAGAGAGCAGTGGTAGGGAACCAGCAGGGGTATTTAAGAAGGATTTATATTTTCTATATGGTATGTTTTGATAATATTTTATGTAATTATTTCTGTAATATTTTAGATTCTTAGTATTGAGATATCATAATCACAAAATACTATAGTGTCCCATCACATTTCATTTCATGCAGAAACTGCAGTTAACAAAATAATTTTTTTTTTTTTTTTGAGACAGAGTCTCACTCCGTCACCCAGACTGGAGTACATTGGCACGATCTTCAGCTCACTGCAACCTCTGCCTCCCTGGTTCAAGTAATTCTCCTGCCTTACCCTCCCGAGTAGCTGGGATTACAGGCATGCACCACCATGCCCAGCTAATTTTTGTATTTTTAGTAGAGATGGGGTTTCACCATGTTGGCCAGGCTGGTCTCCAACTCCTGACCTCAAGTGATCTGCCCACTTCAGCCTCCCAAAGTGCTGGGATTACAGGCGTGAGCCATCTCTCCCGGCCAACAACAGAATTCTTATCTTGGGTTTTTGTGGGAGGAAGAGAAGAATATATAATATATTGAGCTTGCAGTTTACAGAAAGCCACTTCTCTTACTGAGAGTATGATCAACATTCTCTTAGAAAGTAATACATTTGCTTCTTTCAAGAACTCATATTGGCTTGCTACCTCATTAAATACATTTTCCAGACTGCCATAAAGTTTAATCTGAATCTACAAAACAGATATCAACATTACAGGTAAGGTAAAAATGTTAGGAAAGAATCTAAACAAATATTAGAGATATAAGTTACCTAAGCAAAATATATACAAAATATTTAAACACAATCTTTTATTTAACATAGTACCTGGAAAAATATTTACTTAGCTACATTTACTCATGGATTATTTTCTTCCTTCTAAAGAACGAAATAAGCTATCCTTAAAGCAAAAGGCACCTTATTATATCCAGCAGTTTAATAATCTTTAATCATCATGCAAAGCCATATGAAAATGCATTTACTAAGAACAGCAGCAGCTGACACCACTTCTCTCAACCTCTTCAAAAGAACTGTATATAATGTACTTTTATGATATACCTCAAAATAAAAACTTTATATTCATATGATACATTTTAGTAATTTACTTACAATTAGTATAAAGAACTCCAAAATGCCCAAGAAAGGATAGTTATTGGGTCAGAATTGATATTAGTGATATAAAACTGGGAGTGAACAGAAATGTATCATTAGGTATATTTATTAGGAAAGGAGACTGAGAGACTTAGTGCTAGCTTCTGAATCTTGCTACATGCAGATCTGATGTCCATAAAAAAGATGGTAACATAAAAGCCATCATGCAAGAGAATCTATTGATATTTTATATACTAAGAAATGCTTAGTATATATAATGGAATACTGATTATACTTTAATCACAGGTATTGTCTTCAGTTTAGTAATAATTTTTAAAAACATTTGTTTATTTATTTTTATTATATATTTTTTGAGACAAGGTCTCACTCTGTTGCACAGGCTAGAGTGCAGTGGCACAATCACAGCCCACTGTAGCCTCAACCTCCCAGGCTCAAGTGATCCTCCCACCTCAGCCTCTCAAGTAGCTGGGACTACAGGCATGTGCCACCATGCTTGGCTAATTTTTGTATATTTTGTAGAGACGGGGTTTTGCCATGTTGCCCAGGCTGGTCTCAAACTCCTGGGCTCAAGCAATCCACCTGCCTGGGCCTCCCAAAGTGCTGGGATTATAGGCATGAGCCATCATGCCTGGCCAGTTTAGTAATAATCTTAACTCCAGCTTTAAAAGTCACAAATAGAATGTACTCGACATCAGGAGAAAAGTAGGTAATGGGCTTATATTGTCTCTTCAATTTCAACATGTAATAAACCCAATTTTAATTGTAAAATTATTTAAAACCATCATAGCAGAAAACTAGTCAATAATCTATGTCAATCCAAAAGCTTCAGCAGAGTTCAGAATTACCAAAACTTTTCATAGGTTTTAGTAATTTCCTTTCTTCTGTTTGGTGGGGTATGGTGGCTCATGCCTGTAATCCCAACATTTTGGGAAGCCAAAACAGAACCTTTGAGTTGAGGAGTTTGAGACCAGCCTGGGCAAATAGCAAGATCCTATCTCCAGAAAGTTAAAAAATTAGCCAGATGTGATGGCACCCACCTATAGTCCCAGCTACTGAGGAGGCAGAGGTGGGAGGATCACTTAAGTCCAGGAATTCGAGGTGGTAGTGAGCTACGAATCTTAAGGAGGCTGGGTGCAGTGCATCACACCTGGGAGGCCAAGACGGGAGGAGTGCTTGAGCCTGGGAGTTCAAGACTGGCCCGGACAACATAGCAAGACCCCATCTCTACAAACAATTTAAAAATTAACTGGGCATGGTGACATGCCTGTTGTCCTAGCTACTGAGAAGGGTGATGCCAGAGGTTTGCTGGAGCCCAGGAGTTTGAGGTTACAGTGAGCTATGACTGTGCGACTACACTCCAGCCTGAGCAACAGAGTCAGACCATCTGGGGGTCGAGAAAAAACCCTCAAGAAAGAAAAAGGCAACAGTGTCTCAAAACATTTTTCCTTTGTAATTTGCTCCAAAGGTGATAACAATACATCTGGTCCGAAGAGGAGACATCTGAAATTGATTTTTTTCTTTTTTTTTTTTTTTTTAATTCCTTTTTGTATTTACACTGAACCCCAAGAAGCTATGAAATGGATTTTTAATGAACATTTCTATTCATGGCTGACTTTACCTATACATTTGGCTTCTGTTAATATTGATTTAAAACTACAAATAGGCCGGGGTGGTGGCTCATGCCTGTAATCCCAGCACCCTGGGAGGCTGAGGTGGGCAGACTGCTTGAGTCCAGGAGTTTGAGACCAGCCTAGGCAACATGGCAAAACCACATCTCTACTAAAAATACAAAAAACTAGCCGGCTGTGGTGGCGTGCCTGTAGTACTAGCTATTCCAGAGGCTGAGGGAAGATCACTTGAGCCCAGGAAGTTGAGGCTACAGTGAGCCTTGATTGTGCCACTGTACTCCTGCCTGGGTGATGTGAGTGAGATCCTGCCTCAAAAAAATAAATAAATAAGACTACAAACAATCTGGATTAAAAGGTAAAATAAGGAAACATTCCTCTTTCCTTGTGGCTACACCTTCTTCCTCCCTCCCCCAAATTGAAATTTTACCAGTGATAGATATTAAAATAGGATATTTTAATATTTTATAGGATATTAAAAAGGAACTACTATTTTGGTTCATTTGTTTCAAAGTGTATGACTTGATGTATTTGAAGGAATGCTTCAACCTAATCCTACACTTTCTGGAATTTGAGCAACTGTTGATTAACATGGTACTATATTTAGCATAAATACTTCCAATATTCTAGCAATAGTAGTAGATAAATATCAAGTGGCTCAGTCATTCAAAAATGTTCAGTTTAGGCCAACTCTGGGTTCCACATCTATTCATCTTCTTATTGTTACATGTTTATACAAGATAAAACTTACTCCTAGGGATAACGTAATAAGATACAGGGAATAAAGGGAAGGCTGCATCTTTCAGAGCCATTTAAAGGATCTCTCAAACAGCACCAACTTTTTTGGGTCCCTAGGTCATGCACATGCAACACTGTTAAATGAAATAAGGTCAATCTGGGTAAATGGGCAAGGGAACAGAGGGTAGATTTAGATTCTTACTGAGCATGCTCAAATTTCTAATGCACCAAAGAGCAAGAGAGTTCCCTATGGTGGAAATTAACTGCTTTATGTATGTTTGGTCTTTAAGTAAAAATATATAACCTCATTTAAAGCTACTTGTTTGATTTAATAAGTATAAAGGATCCACAGTAGCAATACATTAAATAACTTTTTAAAAACTGGCTACAGTTCCCTCCTTTACAAAGCTAATTCCTATGGCATTACATGCAAAACAGCAAGTAAATACTTTCCCAACAAAGAGAAGCATTCTTTTGCAGATGGGGGTTCAAGGGAAGGGTATTAAAAAACCCCTCCATGTTGTGATACTTACATTATAGAAATAAGGCTCTACTAGGATATCTGACCTCTAAATATAATAATACATTTTAATTCCATTGAATTTAATACCACCATTATTTACAGTAAATTGTAAAATGTACTGTGCATCAGGATAGCACATTTATAGAAGGTGTCAGTAGTTTACTAGTTAGACCTAAGCAACTTAATCTACAGATGATAAAGCCAATGAACATCAGCGTACTTGGTCAAAGAGCTAAGAAATTCTTCATTGAACACCACAGAATTACACATAAACCAGCTGGCTCCACTTCAATATCTTAAAGATAATATGCTAATGTTTTAAAACTCTCTTCAAAAATTTTAAAGAATAAATTATTGTATAATTAAAATCATTCATGTTGATGAATAAGGCTCATGTCCACTGGGTACATTTTTCTTTCCTAATGTTAGAATAAACATGCTCAGTAATAAAAAAAATTCCAAGCATTTGCAGACCTTTTGGAGACAGGACCCTGCCTTGTTAGTAGCCATGCCAAGCTGTTCCTTGATTACACAGGATGCAGACTTCAGACCAGCACAAATGGTAACTAAAGATTGCACCTGACCCGGTGCTATGCATATGAGGAGGGAGGGTGCTTTGCAAGGAGAAGCTAATACACCCTGGGGTACTGGAAACACACATTAGAATGGAAAGATGCTCTGCTTGGGGATAGAGAGCCAGGATCCTTCTCCAGCAACTGCCTCACTGACTTCTGCCTCCTCATCTCTGTCCTACCCTCTGTTGTGGCTGTTGCTGAGTTGGGCTCGGGTGAGCCATGCTCAGGGGTCCTGCGCACCAGCACCTCCCCCTCTTGCACACGTTTGATCCCTAGGTCAGTGGAGCCGTGTTGGATCGGGGAGCCAGGAATACTTGAGTCAGCCTCGTTTGAGAAGTCAAAGCCATCTGGGATTCAACATATAAAATTTTAGTGCTTTTATGCTGCTCTATTATTTTCTGAGCATTTTGACCCAGGCAGATAAGAAAATGTATATATGGATATGATATAAACACAAACACTATTTATATAGTTACATGTGTGTGCACAGCATGCACACACATAAGGCAGCAGATGAACAATGTGAGGTTTGCAAATGAATTAAGACAGAAAAATCAGGATCATTAAAATGGCAATATCTTTTAGGCAAGACAGCTTGACTATTCAAGTACCATGTGTATGAAATACTGCTGGATTCAGCACTTACAAAAAAAGGAAAGGCAAAGATAAAAATCCAAAATCAAGAATAAATCATTTTATGAATAGCTTGCATTATACTGTTAGTTTGGCCAGTTATATAGTTTTTCCCACAGTGCTCATACGTGCACCTTTTTTTTTCCAGTATGGTAACAAGGTTAAAGCAACTTCTTTCCTATTTTTCTTATTTAGTTCAAAAAAAGACAAAAATTAACCTCATCTTATTTTGTTTTAATCTTCATACAGCAATCTAAACATCTATTTTATAAATACATATTAAAATAACTAGACATTTAGTCACATTTCTAGTGATAAACAAAAAAATTTACTTTACACAGGGTCTTTTAATATCATGTGCTAAGACAGTCTGTAAAAACAGTGATAAATTTACTTGACTCCATGTGTGGACTATGGGGATTTTGTACTCACCTTCTCTTCTCCATCTATGACGACGGATTGAAGCTGTTGTAATTGCAGTCCGAGAAATCCTCGGCACTGTTGGAGTGACTTCAACTTTAAGGACTTTCTGGCCTTCTTGTGTAGAATCAGGAGCATCAAATGGTAATGAGTTTTTCATGGCATTGGCAACCTAAAATGATAATATAAGTCTATACAAGTTTACAATCAATATGCATTTTTGTTTATACTACATGTGTCCATAACTTTTGAATATGTATTTAAAATTTGTATTATAATGTTTAATAAATGTATCTTTCTTGTTCTGTATTCTTTTAAGCAGGCTTTTCAAATGAGAATTTCTAAAATATGAGTCACATACCCCAATGATGCCTTAAAATTGTTGACTTTCAAAGAGAAAAAGCATGCCAAAGAAATAATTAACATATAAACTCTGATAATGAGACAATTTAGAATTGTCTGATTCTTCAGATAAATAACATGCAAAATTTAATCTCTAATAAAACATTAGGATGTTCTCTGCTCTTCTGTTTACATGAGGAGAAATGTTCCTTAAATATTTCTGACATTTTGTTCTACCATTTTCTGCTCCCTGAAGAGGAAAGTGACATACCTGGTAATTGCCATTTGACTGATCCATGTTTCCTAACTGGGCTGTACTAATCTAGCAAAAATCTTGAGCTAAAGGATTGTCTTGCTCCTTCCCTCTACACTTGGACAAGCCCACATGGAATTAAGCAGCCTGGATGGGTGTGCCTGATCTGCTCACTCAAACATTCTTGCCAGTGGGCTGTTCCAAGGTCTAGATGTGGAGGAAAGTCTTTCAATTTAGCTTTTAACAGTAATGAAAATACTTGTTCCCCATATACCAACTATTTTTCTGTTTATCATATGGCTCTAGATTTGAACAGGGAAAGAGGGTATTATTATTGTGTCCCTCAGAGACCACGGACAATAAAGGAATACCGTAACTAGAGTTACTAATCTCTTTACCTGTATTGCCTTGGAAATGCCACCTCTACTTAATTTACAAGATTGTTGAAAGGATCAGCTATTAAAGAGTTTCATAAGTTCAAGGTACTACTCTGATGATGTAATTTTTAAATCTTTTTATCCATTTGTTTTAATATAACTCTTAGGGTAAGATTACGAAACAAATGGGAATTCAAATGGAGAATTACTGCAAATGCTACCTTGATAAATTTATATTTAGCTTAAATATTTTAAAAATGATATAAATAAAATGGCTTTTAAAAAGCTGAGCCAGGCATGGTGGCTCATGCCTGTAATCCCACCACTTTGAGAGGCTGAAGCAGGCAGATCACTTGAGTCTGGGAATTTGAGACCAGCCTGGGCAACAAGGTGAGACCTTGTCTCCACAAAGAAATACAAAAATTTGCCAGGTGTGCCGGTGTGCACCTGTAGTCCCAGCGACTCAGGAGGCTGAGGCAGGAGGACCACTTGAGCCCAGAAGGTGGAGGTTACAGTGAACTGTCATCACACCACTGCACTCCAGCATAAGTGACAGAGTGAGACCCTGTCTCAAAAAATAATAGTGATTTTTTGAAACAGTGAAATAAAAAGCTGTATTCTTACAATACTGCAAGTAGAAAATAGTATTTTAAGAATACTGTTATCAAAATACTACAAAAAGCTTAGGAAATTGGAAAGGAATAAAAATTCACAGTCAAATCACCTAGACAACTATTATAGCATTTTATATGTTTCCTCTGTCCTGTCTAGATCTAAAAAATAGTTGTATACTGTTTTTCTACCTCATACAAGCTAGCACTTCCCTTTAATATAAAACCTCATATATATAATCTCATCAAGTAAATATTATATAACTTAAATCATTTTCTGCTGTGGGACATTTAGACTGTTTTTATTCCTTTGCAAGTAGAAATAAAACTGCAATGTGGTGCTTATAATACATTGTCTTTGGTATTTATAATTTTGGTATTAAATTTAAGTTTAGTTTCCTGGAATACATTGCTAGACATGGGATAGAGGGCCAAAGAAATAAACACACATTACCAAACTGCTTCTTCAGGGGATATTCAGAGTTGTTTCACACTACCACTGTAACATAAAGAATGCCTTCCTCACTCCACTACTGGATATTTACATTCGTTGTTTTGTTTTGTTTTTGAAACAAGGTATTGCTCTGTCACCCAGGCTAGAGTGCAGCAGCACAATCTCAGCCCATTGCAACCTCTGCCTCCCAGGTTCAAGCAATTCTCATGCCTCAGCCTCCCAAGCAGCTGGAATTACAGGCATGCGCCACCACACCCAGCTAATGTTGTTTTTGTGGTTTTTTTTTTTTCAGATGGGGTCTCACTCTGTCGCCCAGGCTGGAGAGCAGTGGCATAATCTTGGCTCACTGCAACCTCCACCTCCTGGGTTTAAGCAATTCTCTGCCTCAGCCTCCCGATTAGCTGGGATTACAGGTGCCCACTACCACGCCCAGCTAATGTTTTTAATTTTTTGTAGAGATGGGGTTTTACCATCTTGGACAGTCTGGTCTTAAACTGCTGACCTCGTGATCCATCCATCTTGGCCTCCCCAAAGTGCTGGGATTACAGGTGTGAGCCACAGGGCCTGGCCTTAAATTTTGTATTTTTTTGTAGAGACAGGGTTTTGCCACGCTGGCCAGGCTGGTCTTGAACTTGTGGCCTCAGATGATCCACCCGCCTCAGCCTCCCAAAGTGCTGTGATTATAGGTGTGAGCCACCGCACCTAGCCTTACATTTGTTTTTCAATTGATCACTTACCATTTGGAGATTTGTTTATTTTGTGGGAGAGTACAAAATCTTTTTACATAGAATGAAATATTAATTTGCTTATTCGTATCATGACTGCTGAAAATGTTTCTCAGTTTGTGCCCTGCATATATTAATTTTGCTTTTAAAAACCTGATGGAGGCCAGGCGTGGTGGCTCACGCCTGTAATCCCAGCATTCTGGGAGGCCAAGGCAGGCAGATCACTTGAGATCAGGATTTCAAGACCAGCCTGGCCAACACAGTGAAACTCTGTTTCTACTAAAAATACAAAAATTTACTTTGGGAGGCCAAGGTGGGTGGATCACGAGGTCAAGAGATTGAGACCATCCTGGCTAATACAGTGAAACCCTACCTCTACTAAAAATATAAAAAGTTAGCCAGGTGTGGTGGCACGCGCCTGTAGTCCCAGCTACTCGGGAGGCTGAGATAGGAGAATCGCTTGAACCCAGGAGGCAGAGGTTGCAGTGAGCTGAGATCGCACAAATGCACTCCAGCATAGGTGACAGAGTGAGACTCTGTCTCAAAAAAAAAAAAAAATTACCTGGGCATGGTGGTGCCTACAATCCCAGCTACTTGGGAGGCTGAGATGGAAGGATCACTTGAACCCATAAGGCAGAGGTTGCAGTAAGCCAAGATCGCGCCACTGCACTCCAGTCTGGGTGGCAGAGACAGACTTCATATCAAAAACAAAATAAAAATAAAAATAAAAAATAAATTTAAAAAAACTGATGGAATAGGCTGGGTGTGGTGTCACACATCTTTAATCCCAGCACTCTGGGAGGCTGGGGCCAGCCTTGGCCACACAGAAAGACCCTGTCTCTACAAAAAATACAAAACAAGAAACAAAAAAAACCCCAAAAACCTAACGGCTTAGAATTCAAGTGTTTATGTGGGGGCTGGAGGGTGGGGATCAAACTTATTTTAGTGACTTGTCCTATCATTTATGCTTAGAAAGTAATCCCTTCTCTAGAAATCTGAATATTTAGAACCTTTTCTTCTCTCTTTTCTTAATGGATTTCAAAACATTTAATTATTCACTTTATCTGAACTTTATTTTGGTACTGGAAGGTGGAAAGGACCTAAACCTATTTTGTTTTCTCTCTAACAGTTAACCAACTGTTATCATGGAATAAAATTTTTCCCCTAATTATTTGGATTGTCTTACTTTTTTAACCTAGTACCTTTTTTAGGTACAAGTATATTTAATAAAGAGTAAAGATAATAACTTACCAATAGTGGTTGAGAAAAAAGCTCTAGCTGGGCTCTATAAATGATATCATCAAGAACTTCCTGGCCAAGGTCCCACTGTCCATTATACCTATGAGGAAGAAGATCATTTACTGTCCTGAGCAAATATCTAATCTTCAGCACAACTTTTTAAATTGTTCCAAATCCTGCTATTTTGGTTGTGAAGCAAAACTTTCATACCAAGTGTTATATCATTTCATTTGTGAACTATCCTACTTTTGGTTATAAAAACAAAACAGATTTTAAATACTATGTTTACAAATGTTTCTTCACATAAATTGGTTTTTATTACATGCTGATATTTAATCTATTTAATGCATTAATGAAAACCTGGGTTATGAACTATGTAGAGATAGTCTTCCATACAGAAAATCTGACAATTTCTAGACTCCAATTTTAATGACTAGTTATGTTATATTTTGGCTATTTTAAAAGTACTAAAAGGAAACCATATTAGAAAAAGAAGATAAGCCCATCATGGAACAAAAGATTCAGTACTGTGTCTGATAAGGAAGAAAGAGAAATTTTCAAAGTTTCTAAACATTAGGAAGAATTCATACAATTTTATATTCCACCTACTTACATGGCATAATACACCCCTGTGAGAAGCTGCACCATAAATTCAGGATCCAATACTATTCGACCACAGAGTTCTTTCCAATGTTTTTCATGTTGCCGTGGAAACCCACTCACACAAACCCTAGGAAAATACACTATTTAACATGTGATTTCCAGATTCCTTAAATAAAATAGTTTTTGTTTTCCTAAGTTCATTTATTCAATTTATTCATTCCTCAAGTATTTATTGAGTGCCTGTTATATACCAGTCATTGTTCTGGGCCTAGGCATACAGTTGTGAACAGGTGAAAGATAAAAAATAAAAATGAAATCTGTGCTCTCATAAAGCACTCATTCTAGTGGACTGCACATAAAAGCAACTTTTCTAAAATAGCTAACCATCTCTTTCACAATCATCCTTCTTTCTCTTCACACACATACACACACAAATGTCTAACTTTCACTCAACCCAAATTGTATCAGGGTGAATTAATGGGAAGTATAGGAATCTCAAAACAAAAGGACATTTCAAAATACTGTTGTCTGTGAGGCCATTTTTAAACAAAGAACTATAAACAACTCCCTAACATCCATTCCATCTCATTAAGTGATGCTTCCAAAAAAAGTTATGCTTGATAATGATCAACAGTTGTAATATACTACATTATTTAATCAATTTATTTAGTAAAATAATTGTAATAGTAAATCCAGAAGACATTTTTTAGTGTTTAGTGCCTTATGGTCTTGGGAAATTTTTTTTTAAATTCTGTTTATGTATTTTTTGTAGCAGAGATATACAATAAAAGACTTGCTATTTAAAAACAGCATTATATGGCCAGGCGCGGTGGCTCATGCCTATAATCCCTGCACTTTGGGAGGCCGAGCCAGGTGGATCACGAGGTCAGGAGATCGACACCATCCTGGCTAACACGGTGAAACCCCATCTCTACTAAAAATATTTTTAAAAAATTAGCCGGGCATGGTGGCAGGCACCTGTAGTCCCAGCTACTCAGGAGGCTGAGGCAGGAGAATGGCGTGAACCTGGGAGGTGGAGCTTGCAATGAGCCAAGATCGCACCACTTCACTCCAGCCTGGGCAACAGAGCAAGACACCATCTCAAAAAAATAAAAATAAAAAATAAAATAAAATAAAAATAGCATTATATTAAGATAAAACTATGTGGCGAAAGGGGAATGGAAATTTCTCCTTTAATTTCAAGGAGAAAAAGGAATAAATGTTACATTAGACCATTAAAGAAAAGTTTCTTCATTTATTCCTCAAATGGATGATGGTATCACATCATTATGGTATTTACATTACATACATTTAAAACAGTGACCCAACAGTTATTTTTTTAATTATGTCGATACTTACATACTAGAAATTATATCATTTCCTTTTTCCTTTTTTTTTTGAGATGGAGTCTCGCTCTGCCACCCAGGCTGGAGTACAGTGGCCTGATCTCGGCTCACTGCAACCTCTGCCTCCCAGGTTCAAGCAATTCACCTGCCTCAGCCTCCCAAGTAGCTGGGACTACAGGCATGTGCCACCACTCCCGGCTAATTTTTGTAGTTTTAGTAGAGACAGGGTTTCATTATGTTGGCCAGGATGGTCTCAAACTCGTGACCTCAGGTGATCTGCCCACCTCAGCCTCCTGAAGTGCTGGAATTACAGACATGAGCCACCGCGCCTGGCCTAGAAATTATATAATTTCTACCTACTTAAGATAGGATGAAAAACCGTTAATGTCAACAACGTACAAGGAGTACATAGTTTTTCAAAATTCTGTAGAGGATATATGAACAAAAGAACAAAAGTTTGAGGACCACTAAACTCCGCCATCATCTTTGTTATTAAGAAATTCTATTAGGCTGAGTGTGGTGACTCATGCCTATAATTCCAGTACTTTGGGAGACCAAGGTAGGAAGATCACTTGAGGCCAGGAGTTCAAGACCAGCTTGGACAACACAGTGAGACCCCATCTCTATAACAAATTTAAAAATTAGCCAAATATGGTGGCACATCCCTATAGTCATAGCTACTAAAGAGACTGAGGTGGAAGGACTGCTTGAGCCTACGAGTTCAAGGCTGCAGTGAGCTATGTATAATGATTGTGCCACTGCACTCTAGCCTGGGTGACAGAGGAAGACTCTATCTCAAAAAAAAAAAAAAAAGAAAAAAGAAATTCTATTGAAGGCCACAATAATGTTGTCAATGAGAGAGCAGGCAGTTTTCTTTTAATGAACCTCAAGTAATGAATTATAAATAAATTTATCTGCAGATAGGCAGTAAGTGCTTAAGCAGCATCTAAATTAGAGACAAGAATTTTGTTAGACATTAATCACGTTATTACAGTTAAGAGAAACAAATATTTTTAAGTAATCTGTAAAATCAAAGTAACAGCTAATTTAGATGGGAAAAATTAGTAAGTTTTGTTTAAGCAGGATCTCTTCCCAGTAACACAATAGCATGTCACCTTGAGCAAAGCACTTGTGGTGGACAGACTCTTGGAGAGCCATGATCCCTGTGATCTTTCTGGTATTCACACTGTGTCATGCCCTTCCCCTTCAGCAAGGGTAGGATCTACAGCTTGCTTCTAACCAATAGAATAAGGCAAAGGTGATGGGATTCCATGATTATGTGTACATGAGTACGTTACGTAAGGTAACAGGTCTTGCTGGAGTCTCACTCCTCCTATGTTGAAGAAGTAAGCTGCCATGTTGTAGGCTGCCTGTGTTGGGAGGCCAATGTGGCAAGGAGCGAAGGATGGCCTCCAGCACACAGCCACAAAAAACTGAAGCCCTCAGTCCTACAGCCACAGGAACTCAATTCTGCCAACAAAACTTTTGAGCCTCAGATGAGACTGCAACTCCAGCTAACATCTTAACTGCCGCCTTGTAAGACGCTAAGCAGAGTACCCCAGCTAAGCCATCTGGATTCCTGACCCACAAAAGCTGTGAAATAATAAATGTGTGATGTTTTAACCTGCTCAATTTGTGGCAATTTATTACGCAGTAATAGAAAACAAACACAACATTTAACCTTTTTGGGGGATTGATATCCTCAAGTAAAAATCATTTTGAAAGGCTGAGTTCAGAATTCCTTCTATAACTGAACTTCTGTGACTCTAAACATCCATTGTCTCCAAACTAATTTATATCACTTAAATTTTTTTCTTTTTTTTTTTTTTTTTGAGACAAGTTCTCACTCTGTCGCCCAGGCTGTAGTATAGTGGCACGATCTCGGATCACTGCAACCCTGCCTCCCAGGTTCAAGTCATCCACATGCCTCAGCCTCCCAAGTAGCTGGGATTATAGGCATGCACTACCACGCCCAGCTAATTTTTGTATTTTTAGTAGAGACAGGGTTTCACCATGTTGGCCAGGCTGGTCTCAAACTCCTGACCTCAGGTGATCTGCCCGCCTTGGCCTCCCAACGTGATGGAATTACAGGTGTGAACCACTGCACCTGGCCTACATTTTTTCCACAGTAGAAATTTAAGGCCAGGTACAGTGTCTCACACCTGTAATCCTAGCATGTTGGGAGGCCAGGGCAGGCAGATCACTTAATCCTAGGAGTTTGTGACCTGCCTATGCAACACCATGAAACCCGGTCTCTATTTAAAAAAAAAAAAAAGCCCAGCACAGTGGTGGGCACCTGTAGACCCAGCTACTCAGGAGACTGAGGTGCGAAGATCGCTTAAACCTGAGAGGCAAAGATTGAATAAGCTGATATGGCACCACTGCACTCCAGCCTGGGTGACAGAACAAGATTTCAGCCTAGGTCTGTCCAAATTATTAGAAATTCTGATTTAGTAAAGATTATAATCCATGAGATACAGAATATCCACCCCCCACATACAAATGAGACACATACATCATTGGTACTATTGCTAATCACTTTCTCCAACACAGAGACAGTTATTTATGAAATGTATGGGAAGAGGTTCACATTCCTTAAGACTTTCCCATATATATAGCACTATTTTTTTCAAAGATCTCAAAGTGATTTACAAAAACTGGCAACCAGGGAATGATAAGATATGTCACTAAACAACCTTAGATTTGGATGTCTTGGTACAACTCTATGTTCAGCTAGAAAATATTTCTTTAATGCTGAAAACATTTTCATAATGCACAAGGCCAGGCATGGTGGCTCACACCTGTACTCGCAGCACTTTGGGAGGCTGATGTGGCAAGAATGCTTGAGGCCAGAACTTCAAAACAAACCTGGGCAACATAGCAAGACCCTGTCTCTACAAAAATTAGCTGAGTGTCGTAGTGTACACCTGTGGTCCCAGCTACTTGGGAGGCCCAGGCGGGAGGATTCCTTGAGCCAAGGAGGCCGAGGGCACAGTGAGCTATGATTCAGCCACTGTACTCCAGCCTGGGTGACAGAGAGAAATCCTATCTCATAAAAAAGCAACAACAAAAAAACAGCCTCATGAGGATACGGACTCCTACAGGAATGTAAGCTCCCTGAGTTTTGTTTACTGCTGTATTACCAGAAGTTAGAAGAGTGCCTGGCTTAGAGAATGTGTTCAATAAATATCTGTCAAATAAATATGAAGATTAGTAATAATCACTCTTCTCACCTGGAACCCATCCGACAAAGAGATTGATAAGATGAGGCAGGCATATATACAATAGCAGAATTATAACACAGCATGAGAAAACTCAGGACTTCAAACCTAAAAACAACAAATGCAAGGTTAAAAGGATTACAAATAATTACTTCTACTAGCAACTGGTTATCACAATGCCTTAATATTGACCTTTATGATTTCTTAATCAGATCAACATAGCATCTTTCTCAAAGGTTTCCTTGTTTATATTATCCTTATTACAAGTCATATCCCTTGCTGTCATCTTGTCATCTATGTTTCTGTTTTTAAAAAATAAATGAGGCCAGGCACGGTGGCTCACGCCTGTAATCCCAGCACTTTGGGAGGCCAAGGTGGGTGGATCACAAGGTCAGGAGATCGAGACCATCCTGGCTAACACGGTGAAACCCTGTCTCTACTAAAAATACAAAAATTAGGCAGGCATGGTGGCACAAGCCTGTTTTTCAGCTACTCAGGAGGCTGAGGCAGGAGAATTGCTTGAACCCGGGAGGCAGAGCTTACAGTGAGCCGAGATCACGCCACTGCACTCCAGCCTGGGCAACAGAGTGAGACTCCATCTCAAAAAATCAATCAATCAATCAATCATGCTTGAACAGATGACTCCCCTATAAATAAGTCTACCATCTTCCTACTGACTTCATAATAAAATCCAAACTTATCACAAGGTCCTTTAAAATCAAAGTCCTTATTACAAGGTACTTTAAAATCCACCTTCATCCTTCCTCTCCAGCTTTACTTCCCTCCATTACCAACCACATATACCACACTATATCAATCTTCTTACCATTCCAACAATATGCTGTAACCAATCAGAATTCCTTGCTTTAATGCTCGCTGCTCCTTCTTAATAGAATATACTTTTTCACTTGGGTGATTCCTGATAAGATTTCAAGTCCTAGATCAAATTTTTACTTTAGCCATAAAGCCCTTCTTATTTCTCTCTGCTAAAGTAAACCAGTCCCTTACCTGTGTAGCTCTAATATAGCATTTATCCCACTGAATTGTAATTTTATTCCTTTATGTCTCTTTCTCCCATTTACTAATAAGCAACTTTAGAATAAAGACCCTGATTTATTCATCTCTATCATTAGTGTCCAGCCAGTGTCTAATACATTATTGTTTAATAAATACTTGTTGAATGAATAAACGCTTTCCTAACATTTATAATGTCTAAGAAAGTGGCTCCTAAATCTGGATGCACATTAGTTATTTAAAGGCCTTTTTAAAAACATACACTTCTATGCCTTAACCCAGTTGACCTACTTAAAACCTCGGGTAGGAACCAGGGAAGTTGTACCTCTAAAAAGCTTCCCACAGATGAATGGTGAAGGGTTTATGGAAGCACTTTGTACTATTTTAACAATGTTTTTTGTAAGTCTGAAGTTATTTCAAAATGAAAAGTTAAAAATCAAGTTGAAAGTCTGATCTGGAAGCAGCCATACTTTCAGATCCCTTCACTTTCTCCATACATCTAGGTAAAACAATGGAGATTTATTCTCTGAAAGGATAAAAAATAATTTCTACCTGGGAGCCCCAACGGTGATGGGGGTGGATGCCAAATTGAAAATAGGAAGATTAAGTGAAGTGAAATATAACTGACTAGATATTGCCACTTGGCCACCAAAATACTAGCAACAAGATCTCTAGTTAAGATACCAGAAGAGTTGTTTCTAGGGAATTTGACCACTCTAAGAGGAAAGACTTAAAGATATGGATTTGGGAAAATTTCCAAATGAATGGCCTAGTGGGATCCTATGGTGAAGTTTATATTTATAGTCAGTTACTAGTTGGTGCAAAAATTAATTTTTTTAAATGGCAAGACCACAATAACTTTTGTACCAATACTAGCTCAAATCAGCCATATACTAACATGGTCAGAGCTTCTCATTTTTTATTCCCCCCCAACTTTTTTTTTTTTTTGAGACGGAGTCTCGGTCTTCTCACCCAGGCTGAAGTATAATGGCACGATCTCGGCTCACTGCAACCTCTGCCTCCCGTGTTCAAGCTATTCTTTTGCCTCAGCCTCCCAAGTAGCTGGGATTACAGGTGCCCACCACCACACTCGGCCAATTTTTTTTGTATTTTTAGTAGGGATGGGGTTTCACCATTTTGGCCAGGCTGGTCTCGAACTCCCGACCTCAGGTGATCTGCCCGCCTCAGCCTCCCAAAGTGCTGGGATTAAAGGCATAAGCCACCACACCCAGCCTATTCCCCTATTCTTAAACACGAGGGAAAAAAGATTGCCAGACATCTAAGGAACTTACTAGGATGAAAAAGAGACTATAAAGAAACAGAAGGGCTGGGCGCAGTGGCTCACATCTGTAATCCCAACACATTGGGAGGCCGAGGTGGGTGGATCATAAGGTCAGGAGTTCGTGACCAGCCTGGCCAACATAGTGAAACCCCATCTCTACTAAAAATAAAAAAATTAGCTGGGCATGGTGGCACGCGCCTGTAGTCTCAGTTACTCAGGAAGTCGAGGCAGGAAAATCACTTGAACCCGGGAGGCGGAGGTTGTGGTGAGCTGAGATCACGCCACTCACTGCATTCCAGCCTGGGCAACAGAGCAAGACTCTGTCTCAAAAAAGGAAATAGAAGGCTGGGTCCAGTAGGTCATTCCTGAAATCCCAGCACTTTGGGAGGCTGAGATGGGGAGGATTGCTTGAGCTCACGTGTTTAAGAGCAGCCTGGGCAACATATTGAGACCCCGTTGCTACAATTTTTTTTCTTTTTTTTTTAATTAGCAGGACATGGTGGTAGTCCCAGCTACTCAGGAGGCTGAGGCAGGAGAAGCACCTGAGCTCAGGAGGAGCACCTGAGCTCAGGGGTTCTAGGCAGCAGGCTGCAGTAAGCCATGATCACACCACTACACACCAACCTGGGCAACAAAGCAAGACCCTGTCTTAACAAAAAAAGAAAAAAGAAAAAAGAAAGAAAAATATGCAGAGCTAAAGCATATTTGGCTTCGGGGGAAAAAATGTATGTGTATTCCTGATAAAGTTGGCTATATAAAAAACTAAAACATACAGCAAAAACAAATAAATACCAGAATGCCATATCACTCTTTATACCCATTAAGATGACTACAATCAAAAAGATGGAAAATAAGTGTGAGAATGTAGAGAAACTGGTATCCTCATAAACTGTTGTAGAAACGTAACATGGTACATCCACTCTGGAAAGAAGCATGACAGTTCCTCAAGAAGTTAAGTGTTGAATTACCATATGACCTAGCAATTCTATTCCTAAGTATATACTAAAAAGAACTGAATATGTACATTCACACAAAAATTTGTGAATGCATGTTCAAAACAGCTGTTGTGGTCTAAATTCATGTTGAAACTTAATCTTCAATATGGTGGTATTAACAGGGGAGGCCTTTGCAGCTGGGCGAGGTGGCTCACGCCTGTAATCCCAGCACTTTGGGAGGCCAAGGCACGTGGATCACCTGAGATCAGGAGTTCAAGACCAGCCTGGCCAACACAGTGAAACCCTGTCTCTACAAAAAAAAAAAAAAAAATTAGCCAGGCATGGTGTTGCGCACCTGTAATACCAACTATTCAAGTGGCTGAGGCAGGAGAATCACTTGAACCCAGGAGGCAGAGGGTGCAGTGAGCCGAGATCGTGACACGGCACTCCAGCCTGAGTGACAGAACTAGACTCTGTCAAAAAAAAAAAAAAAAGAGATGGGGCCTTTGGGAAATGATTAGGTCATGACAGCTCTGCCCTCCTGAATTTGATTAGCTAGAAGGTGCCATCTATGAGGCAGAGACTATGAGCCCTTACTAGACACTGAGTCTGCTGGCACTTTAAGCTTGTACTTTCCAATCTGCAGAACTGTGAGCAATACATTTCTATTGTTTATATATTATCCAGTCTAAGGTATTTTGTTATAGCAGCCCAAATAGACTAAAGAGAGCAGAGTTACTCATAATAGCCAAAAAAGAAAAAATAGAAATAACTCGAATGTCCACCCATTGATGAATGGATAAATAAAATGTGGTATATCTACACAATGAAATATTATTTAATTATAAAAAGAAAGTACTGATACATGCTACCACAGAAACAAACCTTGTAAACATGCTAAGTGAAAGAAGCCATACACAAAAGGCAAACATATTGTATGGATCCACTCATGTAAAATGTCTAGTAATAAAAACCACTCAATTGTATGCTTTAAAGGGGTAAATTTTATTTTTAATTTTTATTCTTTTGAGACAGAGGCTCGCTCTGTCGCCAGGCTTGAGTGCAGTGGCGCAATATCGGCTCACTGCAACCTCCACCTCCCAGGTTCAAGTGATTCTCCTGCCTCAGCCTCCCGAGTTGCTGGGACTACATGCGCCCAACACCATGCCCGGCTAATTTTTTTGTATTTTTAGTAGAGATGGGGTTTCATCATATTGGTCAGGATGGTCTCAATCTATTGACCTTGTGATCCACCCACCTTGGCCTCCCAAAGTGCTGGGATTACAGGCGTGAGCCACCACGCCTGGCCCTTTTTTTTT